TGTCGAAGGTGATAAAATATCCTGGAAATATTCCTTCCAAAAACCTGCAGAAACAGATGGGTCTGAGGAAGGGTCCAAGGTAAATAGAATTGCATAATGAAACGATGACAATTTGAACAAATGGCGTGGCCTTTGTAATTTGCAATTAAATTTATTTTTTATTAACAGCTTTGTGTTTATTTAATCTCGTATATTTTTAGAACTGTAAATCTGCGTTTCCTTTAACTGTGCCCAAAGTAAAGCTGAAACGGGTAAAGTTAGCCCCAGAAGAGTTTAAGAAACTAACAATCCAACAAGTTGAAATGCCAAATTTTGATTTAAAACAAGCAGATCAACAACCGTCGGGCACTGTTTCTGTGAATGAAGGACAAGATGGAGTTAAAGCGAAGGAGGAGGATATTGAAGAACATACAGATACAGACATAATTGAGAAACATCCAAATGGAGAGGTCCATGAAACCCAGCCTGGAACTGGGAAAGAACCCTTGGCAAAGGAGCTGGAGAGAAAAGCTAAAGATGATGATGCTTGCGGAGAGAAATCAAAGGATAAATCTACGAACAGGATGGATTCATCAGGAGATAAAGCTGAGGATAATGAAGGCTCGGATGATGAGGTCTTGGATGATGAGGTCTTGGATGATGAAGTCTTGGATGATGAAAAATCCTCTCCGGTTCCTAAGGGTAGAACTGTCGTGATGAGAACTATTTATCTAACGGATAAAATATCCGTGGGAAATATGGCCAAAAAAGCTTTGGAGGATGAAATGAAGATGAGTGATGGAGAAAGTGAAAAAGAAAAAGAGTCTGATGGAAAGAAAGAAGAAGGAAAGGTTGAGGAAAAGAGAAAGGATAGAAAGGAGAAGAATAAGAAGATTATAAAATATTGTTGGAACTGTAAGAAGTCAAAGAGTGATACTGTTAAACTTTATATCTGTGCTGGATGTGAAAAAGCCAGGTATTTACTAAAGGGAGTGATCAGATTTATAAGGGGGCGGGGTTNTCAGCGGAGCAAGTTGAAGTTATATATCAACAGGACTCGTGCCAGCCTAGCATGAGAATTACGTTGAGAGATTTGTGAGAAGTCAGGATATTACTTAAGCTCATTTTAGATATTTGCAATTTTTCACCTGGTTTAAAGCACGGATACGAGCCCGGAACTATTTAGAGGAATCACAACAATCACAATTATCTACATATATTTTATAAACCATCCGTAGGAATAAAATTTTTCAACGTTGTGTAAGGAACATTCAACGTTTATTAGCCTTAAGTATTTATTACGGATGATTTATAGACCTGGAGAAAGAAACACAATTTCAGGTTAGAAGGGGGCAACTAACCCATTGTGTTCTGAAAGATAAAACTCATTATTTTCAAAGTTTTGAGGCTTAGGCTTTTTTAAAAACAATATATAGGTTTTGGCTAAATATCATATATATGAGTTAAATTATAAAACATTTTAACCATAAAACTCAGGTTCTGCATTATAAAATAAAATCAGGTTATTCATTATAAAAATTGGCCTTTAAATAGTTATATATTAAAAATCTCAATTAATTATTGAATTGAACACGTGATTGATTAGTAAAAATTTGTCCATGTAGAGTTCCGTGTGATTGATCGATTGTGTGTAGAGAATTCCTGGTTGAACACACTGAGTAACGTCTTGTCGCTGAATACCCTGAACACACATTAGTTTATAAAGATCCTCAGATCTTTCACTGAAGCACATTAGAGATTTATAAATTAAATTGTTTACGAAGTTTTACAGAAATGTCTTCTTTATAGAAATATATATTTTTTTCTTAGAAAATGACCAAAAATGCTTGAATAACTCAAAAACCACAGCAGTGCTCATGCCAAACCATATATGTTTTGAAATCTTGAAGATGTAAGTTTTCCATGAGGTTACAGTTTAACTTGAGCACTACTCCCGTTTAGTTAATATTTACCAATTAAAAAATTAAAAAATTAATGCAAAATGTAAAATTTTGGCGTGGAAATTTTAACCTTGAAAATGTACAAAAAAAAATAATTCTTTCATTTACGTTTACATTATTATCTCTCCAAAAATGGCAGATTTGTAACCGTAATGACAAAAAATGTAAAGTCTGATGTCCACAAGAAAGGCTTTCAATTCCTTGTTTTCAAGAATGATACAAATTAAAAATTACGATATATTTTTTTGATGTTCAAATTTTTTTATTATTTTGTCATGATCTTTTATAACCAGAAAGGGAACTATTTAAAAAATATTTTTAATTTGGTGGAGCCATTTGGTTGATATGCCTCCATACAAACACTGAATAAAAAAATATAAATTCAACTTTATTATTAGGATCGCGAAATATGGATAGAACCTATTAGTTTTGCTAAGCATCTGATTTCTAGTCAAAAATTGTTAAAAAGTTATAGCCGGTTATATACTGATGTCCATGAAATTTCCTTTTAAACCATAATTGTTAATAATTTTTTACTAAAGTTGGAACAATATTCAGGATCTGAACTGCCAAAATTTCTGTTCTTAAAAAGTTAATTTTTGTCCGACCATGTAAAATGATCTGATGAAGTATTTATTAATCATGAAATTTAATAAAATGATCAATCATTAAAAAACGCTGTAAGAGTATTTTCAAGCGACTCCCCATGCAAAGATGGCAATGCTCGGTTCACTTTTTAACCTAGAAAAACGACCATTTCTTCCACATTGTTGATCATATAAAGGTATCAAGGGCACCGTTGTGATGCTATTTTGCGCGGAAGGTCACTTGAGATTGATTAATTGTTTGCATGTTATACATTGGTCCTTATTAAGATACTATTTTTTCAGATGAGTTTGTTTTTAAGACCAGGAATACAGGGACTTTGTGGACGAGGACGCGTCCTCAGGTTTCACAGTTCAAATTTAAACCTGGATAAGCCTACAATTATTAAAGGAAAAGGACGAGATTTAAATTAAATTTGAAAATTTAGAAATGAGCAAAAATGAAGCAAGAACTTAGATTTGTTGGATAGCTAGAAGTATTTGAACTACGTAGACGTGCTTCAAGTTTAATACAAGTGGCTGAAGATAGTTTACTTAGTTCAGCTACTTCTTGTAATTTTGTTAATTCGATTTGAGGCAAGGTATACAACATATATACCTTAAAATTATTCGAATTTTTGGATATGTTAAAATGACCCATTTAATTTGTCTTCCACTCAAATTCATTGATTCAAAAGATGAAATTTATTAAAACAACATTGTTAACGTTTGCGCTTTGACATTAAAACAAATTGATTTTGAGGAGGGGAATGATAATATTTAAGCCTCCGAACCTCCAGATTTAAAACAGATTGGAGGTAGTCCTCCGCCTGCCCTGGCTCTAGGTTTGGCTGGACTTATTCCTTTTGCATCAGGTGAGGAAAGAAAAATTAATAATATCAATAGAATAATATCCTGGCCTTAAATTAAAACAGTGTTAGAAAACTTTTGGTAAAATGAGTTAAAATATGGATCTTATGGTGATGTTTACATTTTATCAGAAAATCGAAAATGTTGATCTTAGGTTTGGATGGAGGGGGGTTAGAAAAAACTTAAATTATTGTAGATATTTACTCAGTAATGTGATATTTGTTATGTTTTAGCTCCTATTTATATGTTAAATTGTGGATTTCTACTCCCTGACGTTGTCACAGCTCAATTAGCTTACGGAACTACTATTCTCTCTTTTCTAGGTATGTAGTTGTATTCCAAAACAAATTTTGCTAGATAACTTTTTAAAATTAAACATTGACATTAGATAGTAGAAACATAGTAGCTAAAAGAATTAAAATAAGCTTGCAGATGTTGTCAAGAATATTATCCATTTAATGTTGTATGTTTTATTGTAATATTACGAAATTTAGACTATGGTGGAAATGAAGTGTAAATTCTCATGTACCATGATTTTGAAAATGACCTCACTTCATGATTGATTAAGTTACAGCATAGTCACTTCAATTTTGGTGTATGGGTGTGGGACATCCCTAAAAGCCTGATTTGATTTGATTTGATTTGATTTGATTTGATTTGATTTGATTTGATTTGATTTGATTTGATTTGATTTGATTTGATNTGGGCACAGTATTCTTGGTCAGTCACGCCCTCATTACTGGTCAGTATTTTACCCGCCTCATTGGCACAGTATTCTTAGTCGGTCACAATGTCATTACTGGTCAGTATTTTACCCGCCTCCTGGGCCCAGTATTCTTGGTCGGTCACACTTTCATTACTGGTTAGTAATTTACCCGCCTCGCGGGCACAGTATTTGCTAGCATCCTGGGCGCAGTATTCTTGGTCGGTCACACCCTGTTTACTGGTCAGTAAATAGGGTATGCCCGATACCCTGGGTTACTTGCCTCCTGGACACAAAATTCTTTGTCAGTCACACCCTCATTTCTGTTCAACACTGCAAAGACTATTTTGAGATGCAATATATTTTCCATGATTCTAACCTTCATGGATATTTTTGATTGCCAAGATTAGCCTAAAAATATTTGTTTTCCAAAAAGTGGCTGCTTATGTGTAAAGTTTATAGTCAATATAGGTAAAAACTTCCTTTATTTTGGTAGGCCTGGTGTTCACTACTACTGCCTGAGGCAGGACTAGGCTGTGCTCTCTGTGCTGGTAGTCTAGCGCTAACTGCATATTTAGGTCAGTTTCTACAATTCTAAGCATTGAGGAATTTTCTTTTTGTAATCTGTATTACAGGGTGTCCCATGTCATATTGGATCGTGCATAGCTTTTCGGGACAAAACAGAAAATTGCATACGGCAAGAATAAAAATTTGAATGCAGAAAATACAAGGTTTTTTTGATTATTTTGGCGTTAAAGCTGAAAGATAGTCCAATTTGACATGGAATGGGACGCTCTGTGGGTTTTCCACCAGAAGAAAATTGTCGAGCAATTATTCGCAATTTCAAAATTTATGTTTTTTTCTATCATTTTAAATTTTTTATTTCTCGGATGAAATTGTCAAATCCAATCAAATTGTCAAATCAAATCAAGTTGTCAAATCAAATCAAATTGTAAAATCAAATCAAATTGTAAAATCAAATCAAATTTTAAAATAAAATCAAATTGTCAAATTAAATCAAATTGTCAAATCATATCGAATTGTGCAATCAAATCAAATTGTAAAATCAAATCGAATTGTCTAATCAAATCAAATTGTCCAATCAAATCAAATTGTCAAATCAAGTCAAATTGTCAAATCAAATCAAATTGTCAAATCAAATCAAATTGTCAAATCAAGTCAAATTGTCAAATCAAATCAAATTGTCAAATCAAATCAAATTGTCAAATCAAATCAAATTGTCCAATCAAATCAATTTGTCAAATCAAATCAAATTGTCATATCAAATCAAACTGTCCAATCAAATCAAATTGTCCACTGAAATCAAATTGTCAAATCAAATCAAATTGTCAAATCAAATCAAATTGTCAAATCAAATCAAATTGTAAAATCAAATCAAATTGTAAAATCAAATCAAATTGTAAAATCAAATCAAATTGTAAAATCAAATCAAATTGTAAAATCAAATCAAATTATATCATTTTTCGCTAATTTAAAAAAAATCTATTGCGCCAACTTTGTGCAATGATTCAGACAATGAAATTTGTTTGAATTCTGGATATCCGGTATTAACATTCATTATAAAAAGAAAATGGATCCGGATCCAACTGCTCTAGCATCCTATTTTTATATTTCATTTTCAAATTAATTTTTTTCCTGTTTAATTTTCCAATCAAAAAGTTAATTAAAAACAATTTACTCAATATTTTTGGTCTATTTTCGTGTTTGGATCAAGATCCGCCGAAAGTAGCGGTCTAATCAAAGAAAAATTGTTTTAAATTGTTTTCCTTCATTTTAATATTATTTTGGAACAAATTCGATTTGTCACTATGTTCGTTAGAGTACACCAAAAAAGACCAAGTTGGGATATTTGTATGATGCAGACCGGATTGAAGTGATATTTAGTCATACAAATTCAGGGAAGAAAAAAAAAATTTTAAGATTGGATCCCTTCTTCCGTCTGATATATGCACGTAGAGTCTACATAGCTCAAAAAAAATATTCATTGAATTTATCACGTCATAAAGATTAAACATAAAAAATCATTTTTGACGTTTTTTTGACCTAACTCAGTTAATTTTTTAAATTTTGCGAAAATTTCAATGGATTAAATCTTTTAAGACATTTACGAAAAAAATGATTTATGACATAATAAATTCTAGAAATGTGTTTTTGAGCTATTTAGACTTTTTTCCCCATGAATTTGTATGGTTAAATGTCACTTCATTCCGGTCTGCATCATACAAATATCCCAACAATGTCTTTTTTGGGTTACCCTAAAGACCGTCTTGAGAACATTTTTGGAGGGGAGACTTCATGTTCTTAATTTCATCTGTATAGCGGGTCTATAAAACTCTGGAAAAGAAAGACGACTGTTAGACTCTAGTTAAGATTTTAATTGTCCAATGAGCATAAAACACAGCTATTGTGCAGTGTGCACAGATTCATTTAACTGTTTACGTTAATTTTCAAAGAATTGGTAAAAATATTTGCTTTAAAACAACATTAAAGGCACATAAGATTCCTTAAATATCTTCTCTAGACCACACTTGAGTAACAGTGAAAGAAGGTTACCTACAGGCGAACCTGTAATGAAAATAAAGAATAGAAAATACCATTCTGAGCTGAAAACTTTAGAATGGTGGATATCAGGATTAATGCTTAATCCACTCTTTTTCTTAATCTCCAGATTAAATATTGCTTGTTCTCCTCATGAACTTAATCTCCAGATTAATTAACAGATCGGGATTAAGGATATCCCATTCTAAAGTTTTCAGCTCTGGTCTCTTTTTGTAAAAATAAAATTTGTTGTTTTCCGAAAATTGTTATATTTGAATCGGTGAACAACCCTTTCAAATTAAAAAAAAATACATTTCTGTTTCAGATCTGATTCAGCCTGGATATCCGTCCTGGTTTAGAGCGCTCAGGCAGGAGAACGTATTGGATTTTTCTTGAAAATGTCCTGGGGTTGGGTTGGGTTTATTCAAGGGACTGTAAGCGCAATTTCAAGTAACTTTCCATTTGGCATACCCGATTTACAACGATACTCTCAAAACCTTCGCTTGATCAAGGATTTCGTAGATATTATTTTAAAAGTGAGAAATTTAGTGCCAAGAAACACTAGCACGACGTGTACTCTGTAACCTCGAGTCTCCCAGCACTCAATCTTCAGCTACACAAATCCGGTCAAAGGTTTAAAGGGTACCGTTGTGAATCGGTTATTGGAAGGTTACTGAAATAACGTTAACAGTCCCATTAAGAGAAATTTGATCTATCCTCTTAAAAGTGCTTATGATTTAGATTTAAATCTATTAATTTCTCTGCAATTTAAGAATTAAAACCGTTAGAATTTTTTTTTCTGCAACAGCTTGCAAAAATAACGGCCTTAAAAATACAACTTTAAAATGTATAGTAGTATCCCGTCTATATTCAAGGGACTGTAAGCGCAATTTCAAGTAACTTTCCATTTGGCATACCCGATTTACAACGATACTCTCAAAACCTTCGCTTGATCAAGGATTTTGTAGATATTATTTTTATAGTGAGAAATTTAGTGCCAAGAAACACTAGCACGAAGTGTACTCTGTAACATCGAGTCTCCCAGCACTCAATCTTCAGCTATACGAATGAGTATATCAACCACATATCCGGTCAAAGGTTTAAAGGGTACCGTTGTGAATCGGTTATTGGAAGGTTACTGAAATAACGTTAACAGTCCCATCAAGAGAAATTTGGTTTATCCTCTTAAAAGTGCTTATGATTTAGATTTAAATCTATTAATTTCTCTGCAATTTAAGAATTAAAACCGTTAGAATTTTTTTTTCTGCAACAGCTTGCAAAAATAACGGCCTTAAAAATACAACTTTAAAATGTATAGTAGTATCCCGTCTATCCATTTAATATGGTAGTGTACTGTACTTTTCATAAGTTATGTACTAATTATTTGAAATTTTAAAAGTATTGATCTCTTTAAATCACAGTCCCTTTTAACTGGTGTCTAAAAATATAAAGTATTAATCTATGTTTGTTTGTTTGTATGTGCGATCATTACTCAGGAACCCCTCGACCGATTTGCCTCAAATTTTGTTTGGGGAAATTGAGAGAACCACGGGAATGTTCTTAGTTTGGTTTTGAGATTCTGAGATGAGTGTGTCGAATTTTTAAGTAAAAAATAGCCCAAATCCTAATAATTTAAGACCAAGCACGGGTTAACGGTGGGAGTCACTATGCGTAACCTGGGCAATGTTGGGTTACCAAGCTAGTTAATAATATGTTCCCAATGTTCCCCCTGAATTAGATTTATTCTGTCTACGGGTGCAGTTCTCTCCCTACTCGCCACTCTCTTCTGCATATTCACCCTAGGACCTAAGAAGCAGGCCAGTGATTATCTCTCATAAATATACAAATATATAATATATAAATTTTAATATGTTTCAGATGTAAAATGTCTGTACTATGTGCGAGAACTGGTTTCTTGATTAAAATACCATCTTTATATCTAGCTCATGGTAGTCTTAATACACAGGCGAGTGTTACATAGTTGCCAGTTGCCCCCAGTTTTTAAATTAAAGATTCAGCTTTAAACAGCAATTAAATTTTTCACGATATCAAAACATCTTTTTAAAAATCTTAATTTTGGGAACTGTTCTTAATTTTGGCAATATTTGTTAAAATAATCATGAAATTAAAGAACAGCGTTCTTAATTTTTAATCCAGTAGTTACTAGTTCTTAACCATGTATAGACGTGCACCAAATTTATACAAATATATATATATGCCAAACCTTATTCTTAGCTGTGCTATAGAGATGCTAAAATATATATACTAAAATATGAAACTTGCAATTTTTTTCAACTTGAAAGTGTCATGTCATGTACATTGTATAAAATAAAATAGTATGTACTACAGTACATACATGTACTGTATAAGTAAAATTAACATTTTTTGAATTGCATAATTTTACCATAATATAGGTAGAATTAACTTGATGTTTATTTTACAATTTTGTGTTTTGTTATTAATTCTATTTTATTTCAGGCAGCCCGACCATTTCCTGTTATTTCCGATACATTGAATACAACTTCGGCACAAGCTCAGGATGCAAGGTAAAGAATAATGTTAGTAATCTTGACGATCTGGGGGGGGTCCAAAAATCGTATACTAGGACAGACCCCGTTTGTATCCGATTTTTGGAC